ACTCTCCCTGCCGGGACTCGAACCCATGACTTGGCCCATAGCAGACAACGACGTTACCCACTAGACCACCGGGGCGACCGGTTATAGTGTAGTGGACCGCACCATGGCGCAGGGTATTTTGACATGGTCTTGATGCGACTCGATTTTTTTTTTTCATTTTGTTATCTCGAAATGTGCCTGAGCGGTGGTGCGGTGCAATTTTTCCGTCGCAAGTTTTATTTTTTTCTAATCCATGATGGAAACGCGGGAATGGCGGCCATGGCGGCGGCGCCCCGTGGAAAAATACCGCCGACACATGACGGTCATCTCCGTGGCCGAATGACGGAGTACACGCCACCATACTTGGTGGAGGTACGTTGCTTTTAGTCCTTCCTCCCGTGATTTTTCGAAAGTAGAGTTGTGTCTCGTACGATGCTGTTGATGGAGGCCGTCAAATAGCAAACTCGGACAGAGAACCCAGGCAAGAAAAAGGGTCTTCATCGTTTTGTTCTGCAAAAAGCCCAACATGTATCAGCAGCTGCTGTGAGTTGTCTCAGGAGCTGGCCGTTTCCGGGAAAGAACACCATCAGGCGGCTTTGTAAAGGGTCGCCAAGAGATAATAACTATTCATTTTATTCTCCCGTTATTGGACTCTGTCGTCTGCCCCTCTGACCCATGTCCTCCACTTCTTCTACTGGCTAGACGACCCAACCGGGGTCACATAGGAGGGGGGGGCTGGACCCCCTCCTGCGGTTCCTGCCTGAGGTATTTTTATCGCGAGAAGGGTACAGCAATCCCTTCCCTCGCGACTTACGACGTCGAGTATGGTTTACTAACAACGAGCTGTGCAGCGCGTCGCTTTCATCCTAGACCAGGATTTATTTAGTGAGAAAAAAACTCACTCTGCCGGGACTCGAACCCATGACCTGGCCCTTAGCAGGCTGCGAGGTTACCCACTAGACCACCGGGGCGACCGATGTTACACAGATTTGTGAAAGCTTCCACGGAACTGTGAAGATAGCTCCTTGACCTGGAAGAAGGCTTTGCACTGATTCCGTCCAGCTGTCGCGTCAACTGTCGGGCCAGTCGGGCCTGTCGTGTCGAACAGGCCGGCAGAAGACGTCAGCTTCAATCAATACGTACGCGGTGACAAGCTGCTTCTGATCTGATGTTGAACCATGTGTCAACACATGCGACAGATGCGACAGAGTTAGATTTTTCTGGCTAATTATATCCTGGTCTCCGTTGGAAGCGACGCGCTGCAAAGCTCGTTGTTAGTAAACTTGATCGACTTCATAAGGCGCGAGGGAAGGGATTGCCGTACCCTCCTCGCGATAAAAATACCTCAGGCAAGAACCGCAGGAGGGGGTCCAACCCCCCCCTCCTATGTGACCCCGGTTGGGTCGTCTAGCTAGTAGAAGTGGAGGATAGGGGCCAGNAGGGGCCAGAAGGGCAGACGACAGAATCCAATGATGGGAGAAAAACAAACAAAAAAAACATGCCAACAACATCAGCTCAGCGTTGGCGCCGCAGCTGTCAAAGCGGCTGTGGAGCGAGCGTCTACGAGTGGGGGGGGCACGAGAGGGGAAAAGAGCATACAGCAGGAGCGTTCCCAGCGTATATGGTATACAGCAAGCTGCGGTGACGGACGCAATTTCAAGTTGCAGAGACGTTGTGGACTGCTGTCTCATCTCGCCTCATCCCTACCGTATATTTTATATATCATGATGCTACGGTCACTACCTGATCCTGTTCGCACGCTGAAAACGCAGATACAGCAGTCGTGGGTCCGTTATAAGGGGGTGCCTTACAAGAGGGGGCTCCGATATAAGAGGGTCGACATCGGTTGTCACGGACTCGACTCGCTTTAGTAGGGTTACCCTTTCATACAGCGACTGGACCCTTTGTGGTGGGGTCACCCTTCTTTAAAGGGGGTTTACCGCACTATAGGGGGCTTGTACGTGAGGGGCTGTCGCCGGTGTGTGTCTCCCCCGGCCTTTCACTCGCTCACAAACGTACCTTCCTCTCAACCACGCCGCAAGGAAGAATAGACCAGAGAGGAGCTGCAAAAGAATGGTGGTGTTTTGAAACTGGGCATATGATGCAAGGAGGATGGTGCCAAGATGATGAAAGCACTCCGAAACGGACACTTGTGCGAAGTAGCAGCCTTGGGTAAACACGTGCAGCTAGCTTTGTTCTATTGCTACCGCCTCTATCTTTAACCTTGAGAGGAGCTTGGCCTCCCCCATGGCGCCCCCTATGGGGTCCCAGACCATGGCCGCACTGAGACTAACGTGTTTTCATTGGTTAGCTGGTTAGCGCGGTCGATGCTAATAATAAGGTATAAAAATACACACGAACACACAAACAAACAAAAACACACATGGCGGCGCCAAGTAGAAGCAGGGGTGAGTGTGTGCTAGGCTAGAATTTCGTTTCTTTCAGCATACGGTTCAAAACCTGCAGCGTAGATAGACCTACAGTGCTGTGGTTCTCTAAACGAATGCGGGCAATGTGTGTATGTTGGTGTGCGCCAGGGGCCAGGGCGAGGTAGACGTTTGTGGTGTACATGAAGTTAGCTTCTCATGGTCGGAGAGGTGTCGAGGAATTGTAACACCTCTGTAGACTAGAGTATGCGTTTAAATGCATGCATGGACATGTACTTTACCTCCTAATGTCAATGGCTGCGTCATCTTGGCTACGAGGCAATTATAATCCGTACAAGTTCCCACTCCATGACCGAACTAAATACAAAACGGAAAGCGTTGCCGATACGATCACAATCACCCGGCTTGCTTTGGGCGTGTGAATTCGGCAATCAGCCAACCACACGTGCTCTACAGTCCAGCACACATACATGCTGGCACACCTACGGCATACTGGTACACTGTGCCGTATTCAAAGTTCCTTTGTTGCTCGAGATTTCCCGACTTCCCTCGATTGGAGGGTACCCTACTGTGGAGCACCCTCATACAAGAGGGTAACCCTCTTGTACCTGTACAAGAGGGTGGAGAGCCGTTGTTACACCACCCTCTTAAAAAGAAGCCACGACTGTACATATTTTGTTCTTCCCTGCCCTTTCGAGGGTGGGTGGGTGTGTGCGTGGAAAAAAATACCGCTTGCCGCCGCTCAATCGATTCGTCGTTCTGCTTGCCATGATTTCGACTGCTGAATGAACTAGACTACATACAGTTGCCCCATGTATGTAGCAGGTGAGCACTGTATTTCGGGGCGGTGTCAGCGGAGATGCAGAGCAATGCACACATCTCCGTGCAGCCGCCGAGCCCGAGGTCGGGAGGTCGGCATGCACATATACACATCCGCGCGGCTGCGGGCTTTCATCCAAAACAAACCCAGAAATAGCCAAATTCTTGCAGAAGGATCTCTTTACAGCAGCCAGTATCGATGAAAGCTCGCGCCGACCTCCCAACCATTGCGCGAACCTATTTTTTCTTGGATCACAGTTGTACAGCAGGATAAGAAGTATGTATCTTTTTTCCTCTGTTTGCTCTTTGCATGTGTTCTTGCATCACCCCTTGCCGCGGTGCTCTCTTAACCCCACTCCGGAGGGATGCCTTGTAACCTTCGATGTAATTATATCCCGAATGTGTCACGTCATGCGCAGATTTTGGGGATATTGACGTCGTGGCCACGTCAACGTGGTAGCCACGTCAAAAGTCGGATGCCAATATTGTAACTCTAAAATGGCCGGCCGAGCTCTTCGTGTTTGGCAACGCAGGATCGTCACCACACGCATGAGCCAAGTACACTATGTGCGCTCGTTCCGCTAGAGCATTATTCGGAAAGCGTTGCGTGTGTCCGGCGGATCGACCAGAACGTGCGTGTGTACCCGTCGCAGCATCTCAAGCTGACTTGCCGAGAATCGCCAAGCAGTGAGCTAGTGTTCTACACAAGATATATTCCAAAGCCCCCGGTATTGGAATAACAGAGCGTATCTATCCACTTTGGCTTATTTGTGAGTGTCGGCGCGTTGTCTAACGTGCTCCCGTGAAATTGATCTGCGTTTTTTGTCAGCACAACGCAGGTGCCTCGACGCCTTCGTCGTCGCGTTAAGCCAGTGCTACGAGGGCGGGGAGAAGCGATGGTATACGTCTACTCTGCAGCTGCAGCTGGCGTCCTTGGAGTTCTGCGGAGCATGTAGAAGCACCCCGATGCTACATGTCTATGTGGATGCCGAAACACCTCCCACCCTGTGGTCTCTTGGCCAAGCCAACCCGACTGCTGGCACCTCTACCCGCGTGCCGGCCGTGCAGGCTGTTGGCTTGACGTGGGCACGTCCGACGGAGTCTCCGCTGGGCAGTGCTTCAAGCGAGCTCTGGACAAGGCTAGAATCTCTGCAGCTACAGGTCTCTCTTTGCACAGCTAATCTTGACTCGGTGGTTTGGCCTCAAGGGCTCCAAAGGCTGGTTATGGACTGTACGGTATTTATCATCCCACTGGAGATGATGTCGTGGCCGTCCTCTTTAAAGAGCCTGACGTTTGCGGGCATTTTCGACCAACCCATCAACGAGATTGTGTGGCCGGCCTCCATACAAGAACTATTTCTCGGTTTTCGCTTCAACCAACCCATCAGCGAAGTCGTGTGGCCGACCTCCCTCCAGCAGCTATCTTTCGGGTACTGGTTCGACAGGCCCCTTGTTGGAATGTTGTGGCCAGCGTCCCTGCGCAGCCTGTCGTTCGGGTTTCGGTTCAACCATGCCGTCGTCGACGTTGTGTGGCCTGCCTCCCTGCAGCGTCTGTTGTTTGGTGTATCCTTCAACCAGCCAATCGTCGGGGTTGAGTGGCCGAGCTCCCTACAGCTGCTTTCGTTCGGCGTTTGCTTCAAGCAGCCTATTGCCGGAGTCGTGTGGCCGGATGATTTGCGAGAACTATCGTTCGGAGATCACTTCAACCAACCCATCAGCGAAGTCGTGTGGCCATCGTCATTGCAGCATCTTTCTTTCCGGCGTCATTTCAACCAACCCATCAGCGAAGTCGTGTGGCCATCCTCGCTGCAACAGCTTTCATTCGGGCGTCTTTTCAACCAGCCCATCGAAGACTGTGACTGGCCGGCCTCCCTGCAGCAGCTGGCGTTTGGGGAAAAATTCAACCAGCCTATCTCTGGAGTTGTGTGGCCGGCCTCCCTGGAGAATCTATTGTTTGGGGACAATTTCAACCAGCCACTCGTCGACGTTGAGTGGCCATCGTCCCTGAGGCAGCTATCGCTCGGACACCCTGCGTTCGGGAGTAAATTCGACCAACCTGTCAACGAAATCGTGTGGCCTGCCTCTATGCGAAGTGTCACCAAGAACACGGAAAGTTTGTTGTAGAATGTGTCCTTGCGGCTGTCGCTGAATGAAGGTTGGAGAAACAGTTGAATAGCATGAGACCAACCGCTTGTGCGTATTCATCATGAGCCACCTGCTGCGGTTGTCGGATTTCTGCCTGCCTTTGCTCCTCGTTGTTTAATTGGTATGTGTGCGCGCGTGTTCCATAGAGAAGTTGGGCAATTTCATCGCCGTGAGTAAATACTCCTCAAAAACAAGTAGTGCTGGGCAGAAATGACGCGAGACAAACTTCATTTCGTTAGAGTAGATCGAAAAAATGTTTTGTTTCTGGGGGAATATTTTTCCGGAGTTTTGTGTGCAGTGCGATGGAAATATTAAGTACTTGTATCAAGTATTTAAAGTGTTTGTAGTCGCCCGTCCACACTCGGAATGCATGGGTGCAAGGACGGTAGATAATTACTTACACTCTCAAATAATAATACTTACAATGAGTAACTAGATTTATGCAAGGTGGAAATTCAAAGTCGCCCCCCCCAAATCGGAGCTGACGATGTAGCATAGCTTGGTAGGTGGATTTACGTGAGGTTCCGCTCGTTCACTTTCACTTGAACAGCACGGCGTGACGAATTGCGGGAGCCATTGTCGTACTATGTAGACTAATACCACCACGTCGCTGTAAAGCGGTTCCCGACATCTTCATTGTTTCTGAGTGCCGTAGGACGCTCCCCACTGATAACCGATGACGGAACACCGCGATTTCTGCACCACTACAAACAAACATATCTCGCCGAACAGGGGCTCATCTAACCGCCGCGTATTGACACGCCGGACCAAGGCGTAGTTTCAGGGTGTGGTACAGGTTCAGCGTAGCGCCAGACCACGCCAAAAGTCGCCTACAATAGCTGCACTCCGGTACCGGTTGTAGCGCCTGCATCATCGTCGCAACGACGAAGCAGGATCGCCGATTCCTAACCCGACACAAGACCGATTATTGGACTAAGGTTCTTCGCCTCAGGTATGACATCCGCGTGCGTACGTCTGGACCGGCACTTTCCCCTCAATGTGCCAAAAAAAGGGGACCATCTTGTTTTGTTGATTAGGTGAAGCACGCACGCGCGGTGAGTCTGAGGTATGTATGTGGAGCAACTACGCGCATGTTTTAAGGAAAGCATACTTCGAACTGCGAAAACCTATGATACCTCCAGCATCAAGGTCCGGCTACAAGACCTAACTATTGACGAGGCACAACGCACATGGGTATGGCACAGGAAACGGCTTTTTTTTTCAGGACACAGTACGCTCTGCACACACCTCGCAGGCGGCTCGTCCCACCACCCCCCACTCGGCAACCTTCATGGTGCCGCTGAGGACATCGGTGCTGCTCCCTACGGAAACGTGGTAAACTTGAGGGCTTTTCGTTCCCATCTCTTCTGCTCCGTCGTCTCAAGTCCTTCACTACTTCACGCAATTGTCGGTCATGTGTGTTCCTCAGATTGTAGCATCGACAGCATCAACTGGGCCACCAATCAAATGACGCCAACCCCACCTCGTAGCATGTATCACCCTGTTTTACCTGTGCCCCAGGTACTATCGATGAAGACGACAACTTCAAATGCGATTGCGGCTTCGAATGCGACGACCGTATTCATGTAGTCGCGGAACGTCAGTTTTACGACGAGGAGAGGGAAGTATGGGAAAAATACAAGGGAGGTACAGGGCGATGTTTGTGGCATGGAATAGAAAGGAAAGGACGGCAGCTCTACTGGGGAGTAGGAAGTGGTTTGAAAAGGCGGGAAGGGATATCGGTAGGATAGATAGACTAGGGACGACATTGTTGAGCCACCTGAGGCAAAGTAGGAAGGAACGATTGGCCATCGGTGATCGGTCCTGTGGAAACAATGCTCCGTCCCCTCGAGGACGCGTGGTCAATGGTCTAACCGCTAAGGCATGCAAAACATAAGAGAATGCCCCCCCCCAGGTGGTAAGTCTGGAATCATCCGCCCACGTCACACAGGACGTGAACACTTCGAACGAAATCGGAGGTCGAATCTGCGCTCGTTGGTAAACACACAACCACGCAGCGCGCACACACACGTGGACATGCACAGGCAGGGCTCTGGTACGATAGTACGGGGTCGTACGCATACCTGCGCTGAGCCAAGCTCCTGGCTGAACAGCCGACAGTCCAATATGCAACTCGACATCAGTGCTTCTCCGACAACAGGTAAATAGTACCAGCCTTTTCATGAGCTAGGCACGCCTCCAAGGCCTCAACGTCAAAAACCCTTCAGACTAGACGACACACGTGGACATGCACAGGCAGGGCTCTGATACGATAGTACGGGGTCGTACGCATACCTGCGCTGAGCCAAGCTCCTGGCTAAACAGCCGACAGTCCAATATGCAACTCGACATCAGTGCTTCTCCGACAACAGGTAAATAGTACCAGCCTTTTCATGAGCTAGGCACGCCTCCAAGGCCTCAACGTCAAAAACCCTTCAGACTAGACGACACACGTGGACATGCACAGGCGGGGCTCTGGTACGATAGTACGGGGTCGTACGCATACCTGCGCTGAGCCAAGCTCATGGCTGAACAGCCGACAGTCCAATATGTAACTCGACATCAGTGCTTCTCCGACAACAAGTAAATAGTACCAGCCTTTTCATGAGCTAGGCACGCCTCCAAGGCCTCAACGTCAAAAACCCTTCAGACTAGACGAAACACATTGCGAAAAAACACAGGCTCCTGCTTGTAGACTCATGGTGCCGAGGTTCGCGAAAAAAAAAACTCCAGCTACGTGCGCCCTCAAAGATTTCAGCAGCACGCTTCAGGGCACCTGGTAGTTGGAGGGGATGACGATTTTGCAACCACAGAGCTATGCTGACCTACACGAGAAAAGCTGTTCGACATGCAGAGCATCCTGCGCCTTCCATCTCTGTCGGGGACTGTAAATTAGAGGCTAACCCTTCCTGCGCTTCTTCTTGCCCCTGCGGCCCTTGCCACCACCTCCCCCCGTCTGTGCCTCCTTCCCACCCCCATCAGCACCGTCAGCATCGACACCTTGCTGCCTCCCTGCCTTCCACGTACCACCCGCGCTGTCCGATCTCTCGGCACCGATACCCTTCACACCGCTACCGCTGGCGCCGTTTTCTGCTAGGCCCCTCGTTTTGAGCTTGTTCACGAGCAGCGACAGGTCACCCTTTTTCCCGCCACCCAAGGCAGCACCAACACCATTGCTGGTGCTGCCGCCGCCGCCGGTTTGACCGTCGCCGGCGTTGTCGCCGGCATCGGGGCCGTCGCGATCGGCGCGTCTCTTCTTGCCCTTTCGTCGGATGCGCTCTTCTAGGATGGAGCGCATCCCCTCGGTGTCCTGAGAGGTAGCGTTAGGCGACGGAGGGCAAGCACCAACACGACACAGCGCCATGAGATGGTCTGAGTGTAAATCGGTGTGAGTGTTCTAGGGTAATTTGGTGATGTCTGCAGAAAACGGTGATCGCGTCGTACGGTTGTGTTGTGGCGGCGGCGGTAAAAATTGATTTTACCAAAATATGCTCCAAAACGCCGAACGAGTACTGTCCCTGGGCAAAAAATAATAGAGCAAGATCGCGTGTTCCCCTTGCTGTTGACTCTTGTACACAAAAGCCCGTCGCAACATGTACGCGCCCGAGACACACGGGCCAGGAGCTTATTTTCCGTTCCTCTTCTCGAGGAGCCAGATCGACGTCAAAGGTCACGGACCACGTGACTCCCATCTACGGGCAGGCGGCAAAACCATGTCGACGGCGGCAACTCGTACCAACAAAGTCGAAAGCGACGCGCTAGCGTGCTTCCAAACGGTGGCGGTTTTCCGTGAGGAGGAATAATAGGTTATTTCTGTCTTGAAGAGAAGACCGCCTCAAGCCCCAGGGCGCCCACCTCGCCAACCAAGGCCAGGAATGCATTAAGTATTCGAGACCAACATGACAAAAAAAAAGACGACAATCAAAAAAAAAAAGTAGAAACATTCACAGCAAACACAAATAAAAACACGCTGAAAAACATCCTACTACGGTACAAATCTTCTGTATATTTGAAAATCTAACGCCTAATCCAACCCAACTCCCTCACCCTGCGCAGCTTCGCGCAAAATCTGCTCACCTTGAAGCTAGAGTCTGTTCGATCGATTCCGAACCGCGTGTCCCCCTCCAGCAGAGCCGCGAAACGCTCGTCCGCCACGTCCACACTGAAGTCTTGGCCGGGCGCCTTCTCTCTCGCGGCCTCCTTCCGTTTCCGCTTGCCCCTGAGCCTCTTGCCCTTGAGCTTCTCCTCGCGGGCCAGCCGGTGCATGTCGTAGTCCCGCCGGTCCTCTTCCTCCTCCTGTTGGTTTTATTGTTATGTATTTTATGCCGAAAAAAAAAAAGTTGTGTATTTTTCAGCAGAAAAAAAAAAAAAAAAAAA